TCCAGCCTCGGCAAAAAGAGCAAAACTGTCTCAAAAAAAAAAAAAAAAAAAAAAAAAGTGAAGCAAATTTTTTAGATAATTGGGAAATAAGATTTGTGATTTTGCTTTTTTACAACTAAAATGGTGGGCCATTGTAATTTTCAGTGTTTAAACTTTAATCCTAATAGAATTATTTATAAGAACTATGCTATGCTTTCATCTTTTTATAACAGAAGATTCTGGTCATAATTTAGCCTGGATTTGGATCAGAGTGATATGTATTAGTGACCATCTGCTTCTGTTTTTCTAAATTGTCCTTCACTGTCAGCTGTCACCTCTCACTTTTCCAGTCCTTTTGATTACTTTAAATGATAAAAAATATTCATTATAAAAACGTCCCCAAATTTGGAAAACACTTATATGTAAAGAAAAGTCTGGGCAACATGGCAAAACCCTGTCTCTACAAAAGTTAACTGCATGTAGTGCTGAGTTGGGGGGATAGCTTGAGCCCGGAGTTTGAGAACAGCCTGGGTAACACGGTGAAACTCCTTCACTACAAAAAAATACAAAAATTAGCTGAATGTGGTGATGTGTGCCTGTAGTTCCAGCTACTTGGGATGCTAAGGTGGGAGGATTGCTTGAGCCTGGATGGTCAAGGCTATAGTGAGCTGAGATCATGGCACTGCACTCCAGACTGGGCAACAGAGTGAGACTGTATCTCAAAAAAAAAAAAAAAAAAAAAAAAAAAAAAGAAACTTATAATCTTACCATTCTCTACAGTTTGGTGTATTTCATTCTGGTTTTCTAAGAAAACAGAATCGGAGTCACTATATTTAGCTCTGTGTCCTGTTTTCTTTTTTTCAGTTAACATACTAAGAAAATTTCCCCCATGACGTTTTGCATTCTTTGAAGAGATTTTTTTTTTTTTTACTGGTTTTACTCCTTCCTAAGGATTATTTAGCCTAACTTCTGTTACTGAATGTAATTAGATCTAGTTCGCTTCTAATCTGTTAGAGATTTGAAAACAGATAACTCAAGCTAATTAGACTTCTAGGTTAAATGGAAACACATTGCTGTGAGCTAAGGCTTTAACAAATCCGTTGGTAGTAAACCGCAAGAGAGTTGAGCCTTTAGTATTACTCAGTTTTGTGTTGGTGAGTAGAAGTGTGTACATGACATGTTAGTATATTTTACCTTGGACATGTAACTGCTATTGGGGGTCAGATTGGTGTAGTGGGGAGGGCATGGACTTTGGATTTAAGGAGATTTGGCTTTGAATCCCACTTCTATCACTTAGTAGCTTTGTGAATAGCAGTTTATCTCATCTGTGTAGGTCTGTAGCATTACCTATAAATTGGGGATTATAGTGCCTATTTTTACAGTGTAGTTGTAATAAGGATTAAATGATGTATACGTTGCCCTCTTTTTTTTTTTTCAATAACTTCCCAGGTCAATGTATCTCATCCATTTCCAAATTGATTGGTTAATTGTTAGATTCTCATTTTTTCCCTAAGGTTCTGGCCACTGCATTTGACACAACATTGGGAGGCAGAAAATTTGATGAAGTGTTAGTAAATCACTTCTGTGAAGAATTTGGGAAGAAATACAAACTAGACATAAAGTCCAAAATCCGGGCATTATTACGACTCTCTCAAGAGTGTGAGAAACTCAAGAAATTGATGAGTGCAAATGCTTCAGATCTCCCCTTGAGCATTGAATGTTTTATGAATGATGTTGATGTATCTGGAACTATGAATAGGTAAGTGTATTACAATTTCAATGTTAAAGTGAATAGTGATTTTTCTTCACATTTATTAACCTTTAGCTAATTGTTAAAATCATCATGGGGGTTATATGATAATTTTGGTTCTATTTTAAAAATTAGAAGTGATTCAGGACCCTGCTTTTTATATAAAGTTGGGTCTGGTTATTCTAATAATGTAGACCAGTGTTTTTATTCTGATTAATTGAATGTTCCAACATGTTGGTAGTTCTTTACATATGCATTTGTTATATACAAGATTTTCGTAAAATCAGGGCAAAGTGCTGTAGTGCAGAATTAAATTAAATTGAATTTACTCAGTGATTGAGAAGTTGTTCTTTTTTTTTTTTTGAGATGGAGTTTTTTGCTCTTTCAGCCAGGCTCTGGAGTAAGGTGGCGTGATCTCAGCTCACTGCAACCTCTGCCTGCCCCCCCGACCCCACTCTGTTCCAAGCAATTCTCCTGCCTCAGCCTCCTGAGTAGCTGGGATTATAGGTGCCTGCTACCATGCCTAGCTAATTATTTTTGTATTTTTAGTAGGGATGGGGTTTTGCCATGTTTGCCAGGCTGGTTTTGAATACCTGACCTCAGGTGATCCGCTCGCCTTGGCCTCCCAAAGTGCTAGGATTACAGGTGTGAGCCACTGTGCCCAGCCTGAAGTTGTTTTTTTTTGAAAGATTTGTCACCTGGGGGTGACAGCTCTTTTTGTATAGTCCTGAAAGAATTCCTGGTAATTGACATTTCAGAGTGATCTTTAGAAACATCCAGAGTGTTATTGTTACCTGGTTCATTTGCTTGGTTGATGGGAGTAAGATGTTCTTTTGACTGTGAACTCTACTGGTAGAATTCAGGCAAGACTGATGGTTTGGAGAAATGTGCCTGAGCTATCTTTTAAAAAAATTGAAATGATGTTTGTTGTTGTCTTGGATCCAAATTTTTAGTCCCCTTTCTCCCTACTTGCAAATGATAGCTTTCATTTTTATTAAGCAGCTGTCTTGTGTGTGTGTATGTGTGTTCCATGAAGTCTGGAGGTAAGCAAGTATGTTTCAGAAATTGTTGGTAAAATGTTATGTGTTTGTAAGAGCTAAGTAGATACTTGTTAAGTAGTTTAAATTTTTTAAAAACTAACCTTGCCTCTGTAGTGTTTTTAAAACATAGTTATACTGTGGCAGGGTGTGGTGGCTCACTCCTGTAATCCCAGCAGTTTGGGAGGCTGAGGCACGCGGATCACTTGAAGTCAGGAGTTTGAGACCAGCCTAGCCAACATGGTGAAACCCTATCTCTACTAATAATACGAAAACTAGCTGGGTGTGATGGCAGGCACCTGTAATCCTAGCTACTAGGGAGGCTGAGGCAGGATAATTGCTTGAACTTGGGAGTTGGATGTTGCAGTGAGCTGAGATCGAGCCACTGTACTCTAGTTTGGGGCAACAACGTGAGACACTGTATCCAAAAAAAAGAAAAAAGTTATACTGTATCTATATCATTAGAAAATAATAGCTCTTATGTGTTCTATATTATAGCCTTCATTTAGTATGTGTTTTTGTCGTTGTTGGTTTTTTTGAGATAGAGCCTTATTCTGTCACCCAGGCTGGAGTGCAGTGGTGTGATCTTGGCTCGCTGCACTCTGTTTCTCAGGCCCAGGTGATCCTTCTATCTCATCCTCTGAAGTGGCTGGGACTACACCATGTGCCATGATGCTTGGCTAATTTTTGTATTTTTTTGTAGAGACTGGGTTTCACCATGTCGCCCAGGCTGGTCTCGAACTTCTAAACTCAAGCCATCTGCCTGCCTTAGCCTCCCAAAGTGCTGGGGTTACAGGTGTGAGATACCGTGCCTGGTCTCCTTCGTTTAGTCTTTAACACTCACCTTTGTTTAAATCAATGAAACCAGATTTTTTTTTTTTTGAGATGGAGTTTCACTCTTGTTGCCCAGGCTGGATTGCAATGGTGTGATCTCGGCTCTCTGCAGCCTCTGCCGCCTGGGTTCAAGCAGTTCTCCTGCCTCATTCTACTGAGTAGCTGGGATTACAGGCATGCGACATCACGCCTGGCTAATTCTGTAATTTTAGTAGAGACAGGGTTTCTCTATGTTGATGAGGCTGGTCTCGAACTCCTGACCTCAGGTGATCCGCCTGCCTCAGCCTCCCAAAGTGCTAGGATTACAGGTGTGAGCCACTGCATCTGGCCCAGATTATTTGACATTATATTTCTTTTAATTAACAGTTTCTTTGTTAAAGAAAAAAAAATGGAGGTGAAATTCACATACCATAAAATAAACCTTTTTTTTTTTTTTTTTTTTTTTAAGATGAGGTTTCACCGTGTTGGTCAGGCTGGTCTTGAACTCCCAATCTCAGGTGATCCGCCCGCCTTGGCCTCCAAAGTGCTTGGATTATAGGCGTGAGCCACCACGCCCGCCCAAAATAAACCATTTTAAAATAAACAGTTCACTGACATTTAATACTTTCACAGGGTTGTACAATGGCCAACTCTATGTAATGGAAAAACATTTTTATCACCCCAGAATAAAACTTCATACCCAGTAGGTGATTATTTCCTGTTTCCTCTTATCTCTGGCTCCTGGTGATCAACAGCCTGTTTTCTGTTTATGTGGGTGTATCTATTATGGATATTTCATATAAATAGAATCATGTAATATGTGTCTGGCTGCTTTTGTGTCTGACTTCTCAGTGTAATGTTTTTGAGGTTCATCCACATTGTAGTCTGTGTCAGTACTTAATTTTTTTTGTAGTCTTTATCATTACTTAATTGTTTTTTTGGTTATCTATCAGTACTTAATTGTTTCTTTTTTTGGGGCAGATACTATTTTCTTGTATGATATATCATGTTTTATTTGTCCATTCGTTTGCTGATGGACATTTGGGTTTCTACTTTTTAGTTATTGTGAATAGTGCTATGCATTTGTAAACAAATACTTGTTTTCAGGTCTTTTACATATATACGTAGGAGTGGAATTGCTGGCACATACAGCAGTTCTATGTTTAACTTTTTGAGGAATCTCTAGTGATTACTCCACCAACACTGTACTGGGTTTCAGGTTCTCCACATCTTTATCAGCATTGATTTTCAATTTTTTAGATTATTTTAGTAGATTACTAGTATTTTTATGTTAAGTTATTGTTTTGATTGTTGGAAGGACATTCTCTTGCAGATTCCTAAGGGATAGCACATGTGAATAGTGTTCTTTAAGTTCTTGCATGTTGATGACAGTTTGCCATGTTTATCCTTTTTTTTTTGGATGTGGGCAAATCTCTTTTAATTGCAAAAGACTTCATTTATAGCACATTCAGTAATGAACCAACAGGTGAGTTGCTGACTTTGGAACATATGAATATATAAAAATCCCATGCAGTTCAGGTAGTCAAGATAATAAGCACATACAAGGAAAGCAACCTTCATTTTTCTGAAAACTTTTACATTTTAAAAGGTCACTAGGCATACTTGGAAGTTCAAAGCAGTAGAATGTACCTTTCAGGGAAAGGAGGAGGAAAACCCTTTTCCAAGTTGTCAGGCAAATGTATATCAAATATATCCCAATTCCACTTGATAAAGTCAGCTGGATGACCTCCTTGAACCAGGCTAGGGCAGAACACTTAGTAAAAGTGGGCCCTGGGTTGGGATGTGAATCTAGTAGAGGAGGACCAGGTCCCATGCAGCGCCCAACACACCCGTCCCACCCTCTAACACAGACGAGGCATGTCGCCCCATGTCCCTGGACCCGGATGCATGAGAACAGTCATCAGATGGTTACTGCTCCCACCGCCTAGTGCTTTCTAATGGTCTTGATTTAGGCCATGGAGAAAAATCCTATACCACCAAGTGCAAACTGTCATTGAACTTAAGTCATAAAGGATGCTATGGGGCAAATTCTTGTAATCCATATATAAGGACTTCTATTTACCTAATTAGAACAATGATTACACAGTTGGCATTTCTGTTTTCATAAGGTTTTGTTCTCTACACTGGAATGGCTTAAGTAAAAGTTGTCTACTTTTGATTTTATTTTACACTTTCAAAATAGAGGGAGTAGAGAGAAAAAGTGTGACTGCCTATCTTTGGAGCCCAGCAGGTACAAAAGCAAACTTCTCTGACTCTGGGTCCATCAGATTTGGGGGACGTTTCAGTGCCTAGGGAAGGTTAGTGAAGCCCATTACACCCCGAATCCTACAGAAAGAATTCTACAGCTCATCTATCACAGTGTTCTAGTAAAGCATATGCTGAAAAGTACAGGTTTCAACCTAACTAACGTCTACATTTTTAAAAGTAGCATTTCAGCAACAAACAAGCTCAGAGAGCTCCTTGCAAAAGTGAAAAAACAACCATTGCTCAGATGTCAAAAGAGTCAAGCTGCTGCCCTCAGCTTCGCTTAGGCAGACACGTAAGGTGGCAGCAGCTCTTTGGCAGCAGCATTCACAATGGCATCATCATACGGGGGTAGCAGCACTGTATTGTCATTGCTGGTAACGTAAACCAGGACATCGGAGGAGTTCCTGCCATTGATGTAGCAGTTCCAAACACAGCTAATCAAGTAACCCTTAAAAGTCAAGATGATGCTAATAAACAGAAGAATAATAAGGACCAAACAGGTAGGATTCACTGACATGACATCATCTCTGTAGGGAAAATTAGGAGGCAGTTGTCGTATGTATTCCTGAATGGAGTTTGGATAAACAAGCACAGTGATTGCAACCAAGGTGTTCAGGGCAAAATCAAAGATCTGGTAACAAAAGAATGGGATAACTCAGGCTGTTGTTGCTTGTATACTCCATAAGTAGCCATAGCACATATCAGACTCATGAGAAGAGAAGTTGCAATGGCAATGCACATGTAGTTCCACTTGGTTGGGGAGGCCTCAAAATCATAGCAGAGGGTGAAAAGCATTCCTTCTATGGTGGTGACAAGAGAGAATCCCATGTTTATATTTAAAAGTCACTTTAGCTGGATAGAATATTCTTAGCTCATGTTTTCTTTCCTTCAGTATCTTAAATGCAGTAGCACTCTATTTTCTTTTGGTATATAACATTGCTGTTAAAGTGTAACTGCATAGTTTTTAGATATTTGTCACTTGTTCCGTTTGCTTAGATGCCCAAATGTTTTTGATATTTTTTTTTCTTGGAAATCCACCTGGGTGTGGTGGCTCACACTTGAAATCCTAGCACTTTGGATCGTCGAGGCGAGCGACTGGCTTGAGCTCAGGAGTTAGAGACCAGCCTGCCGACCATGGCAAAACCTTGTCTCTACTAAAAATACAAAAAAAAAAAAAAAAAAAAATAGCCTGGTGTGGTGGCATTCACTTGTAGTCCCATCTACTTGGGAGGTGGTGTTGGGAGAATCACCTGGACTCAGGAAGTTGAGGCTGCAGTGAACCATGATCACACATTGCACTTCAGGCAGGATGATGAGAGTGTGACCCTGTCTCAAAAAAAAAAAAAAAAAAAATCATCAATAATTTTACTACAATATATTTATTTTGATGTTGGATATTTTGCATCAGTTTTATTCCAGGTATGCAATGTGGCTTTTCATTATATAATTTGACATTACAAATTTAAGTTTAATTAAATTTTCTTAAGTTTTCTTGAATTATATTGTCTAGTATTCTGTTCTAGTGCTGTGTTTTGCTTTTTTTTTGGGTGGGGTTGGGGGGAATTCCTACATAATTATGTTGGATCTTTCTTGCCTATCTTCTATTTTTTTTTTTTTAGTTTGTCTGTTTTCTATATTTGCCATTTTTGGTCCAATCCTTCATGGCATTGTTCTTGTGTACTGTTTAGTTTTCATTTTTGACATTGATTCTTTTTTTTTTCTTTTTGGAATAAAAATAGCTACTTTTGTTGGAGACGGAGTCTTGATCTGTCACCCAGGCTCACTGCAACCTCTGCCTCCTGGGTTCAAGCGATTCTTCTGCCTCAGCTTCCGAAGTAGCTCAGATTACAGGCGTGTGCCACCGTGTCCAACTTATTTTTTGTAGTTTTAGTAGAGACAGGGTTTCACTGTGTTAGCCAGGATGGTCTTGATTTCCTGACCTCATGATCTGCCCACCTTGGCCTCCCAAAGTGCTGGGATTACAGGCGTGAGCCACTGTGCCTGGCCTGACATTTATTTTTTTATTTCTGATTTCTTTTCTAGGTTTTTCTCATTCTGATTTGTTATTTCATTTTCTGTATCATTTTTATTGAGATATAATTCACATACCATAAAACGTTACTATTTTAAAGTGTATAATTCCAGGGTTGTGCAACTGTGACGGCTTTTTAATTCTAGAATGTTTTTATCACCCCAAAAAGAAACCTTGTGCCTATTAGCATTTACTCTTCATTTCCCTTTATACCTAGGCAATTACCAATATGTTTTCTGTCTCCATAGATTTGCTTCTTCTTGTTGTTTTTTTTTGAGGCAGAATCTCAGTAGATCATCCAGGTTGGAGCGTGATCTCTGCTTGCTACAACCTCCGCCTCCTAGGTTTAAATGATTCTAATGCCTGAACCTCCTGAGTAGCTGGAATTACAGGTGCATGCTACCACGGCCAGCTAATTTTTTAATTTTTAGTAGAGATGGAGTTTTGCCATGTTGGCTAGGACCTCAAGTGATCACCCGCGTTGGCCTCCCAAAGTGCTGGGTTTATAGGTGTGAGCCCTTTTTTTTTTTTTTGTGAAATAGTTTTAAAATGTGGCTTAGCTTTTTGAGATGTTTTCCCTCCCTCTTACCTTCTTTTGTGTTTACTGTGTTGTCTTGCCTTGTTTGGATTTTTTTTGTCAGTAGTTTTTCTTCAGTGTAGTTCTTTTTTTTTTTTTCAAGGTAACTTTAGGTTGGTCCCAGTTTGCTCTGGTCCCTGAAAATACCTTATTGAAGGCCTTTTACTCTTGTTTTGTAGCATGCCAAGCCCTGCTGATTTCAGCTGCTGTTTTCAGTTTGGCCCTCTGAGTTAGGTTATTCTGGAGTTTTCAGGTCAATTATGTACCCTTTTGTTTCCTTCTGTTTATTTTGCACAGACCTGATACTAAGCAGGAATTGTAGTTGTGGGTGGTTTGTCTCTTCCTATATGTGTTCTGAGGTTTGTGGGCATATTTCGTTACCTAGTTTTGTTGTAGGATTGTTTAAGCCCAGGAGATGGAGGCTGCAGTGTACCATGATCGTACAGCTGTGCTCCAGCCTGGGTGACAGAGTTCCCTCTCAAAAACGAAACCAAAAAAATCCACATAGAATTATCACATTATTCAGCAGCTGTATTTCTAGATACATATTCAAGAGAAATGGAAACATGTCCACAGAAAAACTCGTGAATGTTCATCACACTGCTCATGGTGGCCAAAAAGTGGAAACAGCCCAAATGTTCATCAACTTAATGAAGAAGTGGGTAAATAAAACATGCTAAGTCCATACAATGGGACACTATTTGGCACTTGAAAAAAATGTTATACAAATACATACTAAAACATGGATGAACCTTGAAAAGTTCATGCTAATGAAAGAAGTCAGTCACAAAAGGCCACATTTTGTATGATTCCATTTATATGAAATGGCCAGAATTGGCAAATCTATAGAGACAGAAAGTAGATTTAGTGATTGCCTAGGGCTGTGGGGGTTGAGGAAAGTAACAGTTAAGGGTGATGAAAATGTTCTTTTTTAGACTGAAAATGTTTTAAAATTGATTGTGGCAGTGCTTGCACAACTCTGAACGTATTAAGTCACTGAATTGTATACTTTAAAAATATTTTTGTACCAAACCTCATGCCCAAAAGTTAAGAATTACATAGTTTATTTTTATCTTTTTAATTTTAAAATTCTTTTTGAGGCAAGGTCTCACTTTATCATCCAGTCTGGAGTGTAGTTGGTACGATTTTGGCTCACTGCAGCCTCAATCTCTCAGGTTCAGAAGATCCTCCCACCTCCATCCCCCAAGTAGCTGGGACTATAGGTGTGCAGTGACATGCCTGTCTAATTTTTGTATTTTTTTGTAGAGACAGGATTTTGCAATATTGCCCAGGCTAGTCTCAAATTCCTGAGCTCAGCCACCATCCTTGGCTTCCCAAAGTGTTAGGATTACAAGTGTGAGCCACTTCACCTGGACTGGAATTACATACTTTAAATGGGTGAATTCTATGGCACGTAAATCATGTTGCGATAGAGCTTTTTAAAAAGAAACTATCAAAAAACTTCTGCCGGCCAGGCGCAGTGGCTCACTGTGCTCGGCCTACTATTCTTTTTATTGAGATGTAATTTAATAAAGTAAACCCCCTTTCCCCGCTTTTTTTGGGATAGTATCTCTGTTGCCCAGGCTGGAGTGAAATGGTGTGATCATGGCTTAATATAGCCCCGACCTCCCAGGCCCAGGTGATCCTCCTGTCTCAGCTTCCTGGGTAGCTGAGACTACAGGTGTGACCTACTAAGCTACTACTGGCTAATTTTTTGTATTTTTTGTAGAGATGGGGTTTTGCTGTGTTGTCCAGTTTGGTCTTGAACTCCTGGGCTCAAGCCTCAGTCTCCTGATGTGTTGGGACTACAGGAGTGAGCCACTGCACCCATCCAGAAGTCACCCTTTTAACATGTATCATTCAATGATTTAAAACTTTTTTTTTTCAAGTATATTTGTGGAGCTTGGCAGCCATCATCACAATTAAATTTTAGAACATTTTCACTCCTTCTTAAAGAAACAAATGAATGAGTAATCAGGCTGTGAAGACAAGGAGGAACCTTAAATGCATATTGCCAAGTGAGTGAAGCCAATTTGAAAAATCTGCATACCATAGGATTCCAACTCTGTCATTTTGGAAAAGGCAAAACTACAGACAGCTGGGCATGATGGCGCAGAACTTCGGGAGGCCGAGGCAGGTGGATTACTTGAGGTCAGGAGTTCTAGACCAGCCTGACCAACATGATGAAACCCTATCTCTACTAAAAAAAAAAAAAAAAAAAATACAAAATTAGCCAGGTGTGGTTGTGCACACCTGTAATCCCAGCTACTTGGGAGGCTAAGGCAGGAGAATCACTTGAACCCGGGAAGTGGAGGTTGCAGTGAGCCAGGATTGTGCCATTGCACTCCCGCCTTGGCAACAAGAGGGAAACTCTGTCTTGTTAGGGACAAGCAGCCCCAGAAAACCCCCTCTGCTACATGTCTCAAACAACAAAAACAACAACAGAAAACTATGCAGACAATATATAACAGTCAGTTACCCGGAGTTTGGAGCAGAGAGGGATGAATAGTTGGAACACGGGAACTTTTAGGGCAGTGAAACTATTCCGTATGTTACTGAAGTGGTGAATACTTACACATTGTTAAAACTCAGAACACGAATAGAAATTATCATATCTATCAGCATTGACTCATTAATTGTAACAAATGTACCATACTAATGTAAGATGTTAATAGAGAAACTAGGCTGGGGGTGAGGAGGGGATATATGGGGATTCTTCTCATCAAAAAAACTAAACCTTTCTCTGTAAACCTAAAACATCTGAAAATGTATATTAATATAAAGAAAAAGACATGCCTGTAGACCCAGCTACTTAGGAGGCTAAGGTGGGAAAATCACCTGAGCCTGGGAGCTCACTGACGTTGCATTCCAGTCTGGGCAATAGAGCGACACCTTGCCTAAAAAGAGAGAGAAACCCTGTACTCATTAGCTGTCCTTCCTATCTCTTCTGCCTCCATTTAGTCATTGGTAGCTGCTAGTCTCCTTTCTCCGGATTTACCTATTCTGGATATTTCACATAAATATGTCTTCTTGTTTGGCTGGCTTCTTTAACCCAGCATAATGTTTTCATGTGTTGTAATATGCATCAGTTCCTCTTATTATATTCATTTATTTTTATTGCTGCATACAGTT